ACTGAGTGTTAATTTGGCATTAAACACAATGGAAAGTCAGAAAAGAGCTGAGGATGGAATACTTCAGAAACTAGAGAAATAAGAATACACGACGAAGACTGCCTGCTTTCCTTGTTGTATTTTGAGCTCGCTTCCTAGGCACCCAGGGAACCTTATCTAAGAGCTGTGAGAGACAGAGATGAGAAGCCATTGATACAGGAGCTGGGAAGTTGACAAGCAGTTTTTTCCCCAGGTGATCTGATTCAGTTAGCTCATTGCTCCCCTGAGCTGAGGGCCTCAGTGCTCCCATCCACAGATGATAGTGGCCTGAACAGCCCTTGTTTCTGAGGCAAAACATGAAGGAAACTATAATCTGAAGGCATTTATTATTTAAGTTCCCAATGACATTCCAAGATATGCTTCCTATATGTCTACTTCTAAGATCTATTTAGATGAGTCAGACTCTGACTGAATGGGCTGGGAAAGAAGCATGTGATAGATCAGTAAAATTCAGAGATTTTGTACATCACCTGGTCTGTTAATGGTACAGTGGCCAAGGAGAAAATTAACTGAACTCAACTCTGGTTTCGTACTCTTGAAGTATAATTCTTATTTTGTTGTTTTGCTTCTCTTTTTTTATTTTTAAAGTAATTTTCCCACATCCTTCAAATAACCACCTACCTATTCTAAGAGCTAGAGATTGAGTGTTCTCATAACCAGCCATGACTCAGTGACAACTGACTCTACTCTCGTTGTAAATAGAAACATAAACTTTGCTCCTGCATGTACTTTATAGGCAGTCTCTCCAGCACTTTTCTCCACAGCCAAAGGATGTGCAAGACTTCTGAGTCAGCAGTCAGCTGCCACGGAACAGAACATGCAGGATATTGTCAACTGGCCGAAATTGCACCGATGCCCTCAAAACCTGGCATTCATCTCCTCTTCCTCTTGCCTCTTCAGGCTCCTCCCTTTCCTTATCCCTTCCTTCCACATGTTGGCTTTTCAGTCCCCAGGATTTCTGGTACCTTCCAGCCAGGTTTCCTGGTCTGTAAGTTCCTGTGATTATGAATGTTGATTTTCCCAGGATACTGGGATAGAGCATACATGGGGTGGTCCATGAAGGGCATGATCTGGATTTGACTTTCAGGAATGAGGAAAATGAGGACGATAACAGGAATGGCCCTTCTGCAGTTCTCCCCAACTGCTCTCAGAGTGAATCAGAATGCCAGATGAGTCCCTTTGATAAATGAGACATCTGAGTCTGCAGAGGTACAGAACAACGCTGGGGCCTCTCAGAGTGTCTTCCCGCTGCTGTCATTTGGCTTGCAAAGTAAGAAAAGTGAGTCAGCCCGAGGGAATTACTCTTGTGTAGTCTTACCTTGGGTGCCTGTCACATTGTTCCAGGAACCAACTTACCTCTATTTATCTGTTGTCATTAGTGACCCGCAGGTCTAAATCCCTTCGGCTGGGCACTTAATACTTGCCTGCCACTTGGGAGCAGGCTCTGTGCACAGCTGTCTGGGAGCTGTGGCGGAAACCTGTAAATTTCAGTGTTTTATATCAACAGAAGGCTTAGGGGCCAGTTATTAATGGAGGTGCTCATCTGTGCTGGTGTTTGATTTGGATTCTCTGTGGTGGTTAGCAGCTCTTTGGAAGTGAATATTTATTTCAAACAGAGTGGGCTCTAGCCAACCAAGCAGTGTTAGCCTACATAGTAGAATTCTTTTCTGAAACCAAAAGTCTGAGACTCTTTAGGGCGGTGTGAGCATAAGGCGGGCGTTGTGACAGGGGAAAGGCTTTTGGAAACACATGTTGCAGGATCTTTAATGTGTTGCTTTTAGCATTGAGTGCCCCAATCCTGGCAAGGAGTGGAAGGTGGCTGCTGCTCAGGAACAAAGAAAAGTCATTTTCTTCCTTGACACGATGCAGAGATTAGACCAGGTGTATTAAAGCTTTCCAAACATTGTGACTCTGGTGGAGTTAAAGTTGACAATGAACACAGGTAGGGTATGCAAGGTAGGGCTTGCAGAGTACTGTCTGCTTGCCACCAGAACAGCACATAAAGCTACAGAAATCTCCACAGAGAAGGTCCTTGGCAGAGCAAACACTCTAGAACCTTTGTTTCTAGTCCTTGGTTATGACCTATCACCCTTTGGATAAACACTTGTGGGGGTTTTTCCTCTTTATAGGAACTTTAAAATATTTCTCTTGCTGCTTACTGCCACCTAGAATAAACTTTTATTTAGGGGAAGTGAAGATGAGTTCCAGTTAATTCCACTCCTTGCTGGACTCTTGGCCATGCAGATATTGGGACAAACTGTGTTTCTTAGTAGTGTAGTGGGGTTTTTTATTTTTTTAATCCTCACCTAAGGATATTTTTTCTTTTGCTTTTCCGAGAGAGTGGAAGGGAGAGAGAGGGAGAGGGAGAAAAGGGGGGGG